GTCAAGGGCCTGTTGTCCCACCGGGTCAGACTGTTTTATGGCTATTCAACTCTTAGAATTCTATACCCGCTTAGCTCTCTTTTCAACCACAGTAGATAGCCAAACAATGGACATCTCTCTTATAAGTATGTATATTAGTACGTATTATTTTTAAGATTAGCTTGATTGATGTATAGTCAACATATCACCTCTGTATCAATTGTTGATTAAAACATTTCAAAAATCACCAAGTCAATCTAGCACTGAATCAGCCTCTTCCTTAGTTTCTTTCTTATACCTCTTACAGTAGCAGATACTGATATTTTCTTTTAGAGATGGAAATGCCAATGCTGAGGTACTGCCATTAATTAATAACCTTGCTTGATGGTATGTTGGAGAAGCCTCTCTTTTCCTCATTTTACTGTGGCTATTTCAGTTTATATTGATTGTTACTTTGCAGAAGACGGACCTCATAATGGTTCTCTGTGCACAGCTCAACAACTGTTGACAGTTGTGTGTGTCTGTCTCTCATGTTGTACTGACTCCTCAGTGAAGGTGGACTTTGTCTTACCTTTCTATCCCAGTGCATATCACAGTTCTTGGCACTCAGTAAATGCTAGCTGAATAAATAAGTGAATGAATGCAGAACAGGGGTTAAATTAGGGAACAATACAACAAACTATAAGAATGAACCTCAGGTCCCAAATCTTTTCTATTAAGTAATTTGAAGTTTCTGTTGCACATTTGTTGCCTGAAGACTAGGGTTGTTAGTCTCAATATATTGGATTACATAGAGACCATCTATTTTAGTTAAAATACAAATCATGCTTCATTGAGAAAACTGTTGTTATCCCATTAAGTATCTTTTATTCAAAATGATGTGTCACTTGGTTCCTCTTGGAACATCTACCTCGGCATGAAATTTGCAACTGTGATTAAAAATAGGGAATTCATTTGTAGCATTTCTAACTTTGAATGGAAACACTAATGCTTCTTCTTACTTTTACCTTATTTAAATGGATTGTTGGAAATCATTCATGGAATTTTTATTAATAAAATAACTTTTATTACTTCTAGGTTGGGAGGTGGCTGGAGATCATATCCAGAGTGGGGCTGGAGGTTCTGACAATGATTACCTGATCTTAAACTTGCATATCCCAGGATTTAAGTAAGGAAAACAATTCTAATTCTTTTCTATAAGAATCCTCACACCTGTTTCCCCACATAAATAAAGAAGTAGGGCTACTTTATGGAACAATATTGCAAAAATACTTAGTAAATAACAAGCTGTCACAGGGTAATGTATTGTATTGAAGAGTATCCGTAGAATTAGTGATTGAGAAACTATAAATGTTAGTTATGTATTACTTGGATAAAGCTGAAAAATTTAAACAATAGTGTGTCCAAATGCTACAATAACTTTGATTCTTGGATACTTAATGAAGAGGTCAGTCCAAGTTGTTTGCAGGAATATCTTGTGGTTTATTTATCTATTTTTTTCTCAGTTCTCTTGGTAAAATAGTATGTTAGAAATTTCTTAATCCCATTTCATTTTAGTTCCCCATGTTGAAATTACCCAGTAGTAGTCTTTTCCTTTAGGATGGATGGTATCATTTACAACAGGAGGTTCAAGCATATTACCATGGTTATGTGGACTCAATGTCTACGAAGGGTGTTGTCAGGTAGGATTAAGTGAGGAAGGAGTTTTGGGTGAGGGAAGTGGTAGATTAGAGGAAGAGAAGAGCATGGCTTTTTGTTTAATAAAAATAGTGGCTTAATTTTATTGTAAATTGTATTTAGAACATACTATGAATACTGCCATTTTAATCTGTCAAATAGACCACCAACATCTATGACTGGAGCCATGGGTTCTGAACTAGGAAGAATAACGTTTGTCTTTGAGACCCTCTGTTCAGCCGACTGTGTTTTGTACTTCATGGTGGTAAGTGGATGGGCAGCTTTCAGGGCAGATTTCTA